AAAAAGACAACTTAAGTCCCTGACATTAAACGTAAGGAATTGATCTGATGAAGGAATGAAAAGTATGGCCTATCATCAACGTGAGGAAGAGAGTCGTGGAGTTCGCACATCCTTTTCTAATCAATTTATTCTATGGTTTGTTTGTCCTTCCATACGTCAACGTAGAAAATTATGAATTCAGGTCATAGGCACCAGGTGAGGCAAATAAAGAGTAACTTAAATAAAAAAAGTAATAATTAGTTAACTAAGACAAAGTCAACAAACATAATGAAACGAACAATGAAAAGAAGACTTCTTAGGAGATGTTTCTGTAGCTAAGGGATTTCAAATTCATAGATTAAAATAGGTGAAAAAGTAAAGAATTACTCTTTATTATATAACATTTTATTTGAAAAATAAAAATAAAAACAATAAAAAAAGACTTATTTGGGGCAGAAAAAACAAATATAATTACAAAAAAAAAGGGGGAAAAAACCTGCCCTTGCTGGATTGTTACCCAACAAATTAAATCCCAAAAGGCAGCAAAAATTTTTTTGGGCTAAATTCAATTTTTAGTCTATTAACTATCACTTTGATTTCATTTTAGTCTAGAAACTATATTTTATTTCTAAGTGGTCTATTAACTTTCAGATTCATTTCAATTTCGTCTACTTGGTCAAAGATAACAGAAAACTTTTTATTATGTTAGAGAACAGTTAGTCTTTTAACTATATTTTTTTATCTTTTAATCCTTAAATTTATATTTGTTATAAAAATAGCTTTTATATTTAAAATTATTATTTTTAGGCTATGATATCAGATTTTTATACTTAAAATTATTATTTCTAAGTGGTCTATTAACTTTCGGGTTCTGATAAAAAATTAAAGAAATAAGAAAACCCGTATAAAAATCTGGTATCAGAACCTATAAATAATAATTTTAAGTAAAAAAGTTATTTTTATAACAAATATAAATTTAAGGATTAAAAGATCAAAAAAATATAGTCAAAGGACTAACTGTTCTCTAACAGAAGTTTTCTGTTATCTTTGATCAAGTAGACGAAATTGAAATGAATCTAAAAATTAATAGACTACTTAGAACTAAAATATAGTTTCTAGATTAAAATGAAATCAATGTGATAGTTAATAGACTAAAAATTAAATTAAGCTCTTTTTTTGGTAAAAGGTGAAATATATAAAATGAAAAAGGTCAAATGTCTGCTGGCCCATATGCTGCCGGTCCGCTCTCTTCTAGCCCAGCTGCAGATGCCACTGCCAGCCAGGACCAACCTGTCTTTAGCCTGAGACTTATCAGCAGCTGCCACGTGTCATAACTTTTTTTTTTTTTTTCTAACCCTTCACCTAATTCAAGTTTAAATCTTATATCTTTAAATTAAAGTTTCAAACTCTCAAAGAAGAAAAATATTATTGGAACAATTATTTTATTTTTTTTATATAATTTGATGTGTTATTAAAATAATTGATTCTTTTAATTTATGTAAAATTCATAATATTAAATGCATTCACTTATTTAATGATATGTTAAAATTATATAAAAAAATGAAATAAAAAAAATTGTCCAAATAGTACCACCCCTCACTAAATTAAGCCATCGTTTTCAAAACTTTGAAATAATACTATACAACATGGAAACAAACTTTGATTTTTCAAATATCTTCTAATCTATTCTAATGTTGAAATTGTAGAAAATCAGGAAATTTTGTTAATTAAAATTGTTAGGATTTTTTTATGAAATTATTTAAATATTCTAGATGAGTTAATATATAAAAAAGATTTGTTAATGATATTTAAATAATTTTATAAGAAATCATAACATTTTAAATGTTAGAATATTTTAATTTTTACTTTTTTCTTTAAAGTTACATTGTATGACCATAGATTAATTTTGAGATGTGTACAAATTGATAAATTAGGATTGAAATGCATACAAGTTGAAATAGAGGCCATTTTAATTGTCTAAACTAGATTTTTTTGGGAGTTCTCTAGAGAAAGGACTTAGTCTATTAATGAATAAGTTTTTTTTTTTTTTTTTTAATTTTACTTTGGTATTTATAATTAGGATGTTTTTAGATCAATATGCACACACATCAAAAGTAATTTATCTTTATACAATCTGAAAGGCATAACGTTTACATCACCTCTATGCATTTAAGAAAAATAATTTTTTTAAGTATCAACCCCAAGATTTAAATTTTAAATCTAACTTATAAGATAATACTTATAGTGATACTTATTTATTAATAGATTAAAGCTTAAACTTATTTATGAAAATGTGCTGGGTGTACTTTATAGGTTAAGTTTCAAGTTTTGACATTAATATTCAAAATAATAATTAATGAAATACATTATATTAATTTGGTTCCACGCTTAAAAACATTGAGAAATAAATTAATTTTGAACTGTGTAAATTAAAAAGATACAATCTTAATAGTTTATTTAGTTTGAAAAAAACAAAAAAAACAAAAAAAGGGGAGGAAAAAGATAAATTTTTATCCAATCAAATTAAGATTTTAATTTAATGTCTTAATTTAATCGAGTAAAGAACTTTTTACCCATTCCTTCTGTTAGTGATTGAAAATTTTTTCATAGTTTGACAAAATTAATTATTAAGATTAGATTTAATTCTTATTTTAAAAAATTATAGTAAAGAATAAGAATAAAAATTTATATTTTAAAATCATTAGTACCTTTGTAATTCAATGATCCCTATTTAATGCGACCACAATAAACTTTTCTAACTCAATTTGTTGAATTTTGAAACATTTTTTATTGGCTTGATATTGATTTAAAAATTAAAAAATTTACCAAATACTTAAAGTATACACATCTCTAATTACTAAATTTAAACCGGCATAACCAAGGCTCCAATTTGACACAATCTAATTTTTATTTGATATACACGTCGTTGTCGCACGAATAGATATATAGCTATACCTATTTATTAATATAAGATAAATGTGAGATAATATTAGAACTCCTCCATGTGGTTTGGTTAGTGAATGAGCCACGCTACTCTAGTAGCAAATGAAGTTTATCCAGTTTTAACTTTAATGTTGACTTATAAATAGATGTTAATATTTAACTAATGTTCTCTTTGTCAAAAAAATAACACCTAACTAATGTGCCTGTTGTAAAAAAAAAAAAGTGAGATAATATTGTGAAATTAAATAAACAATTATGATGCATTATTTTTTAATTGGTTATTTTGACTGAAAAAGTGCACTTATAATCAGGAGTATTGCTAATGCCACCAAATAATTGTTGGTTTTTTTTCCTCCTTTAAAGTTGTTATTTTTTTTAAGTAAAAAAGTATTTTTTTAAATTTAACTAATTATTATTTATTTACTTTAATTAATTATCTTATTACAAAAATTCTCTCTTTATCTTTTATTTATTTTTTAAGATTGATATAGATAAGTGTATAAATTGTTTTCAAAATTTTAATTTAAAATTTTAGAAAAATAATAGTTATTTTGAGATAAAAAGAGTATAGTATATTTCTCTTAAAAATTTAAGGACCAATTTTATTTTCAATCATATTTAATATTTTAATGGTTTTAATGAATTATTATAATAAAATAACTAATTATTCAATATTCTTATACTCTCTATTTTAAAATAATACTTGTTTTGACTTTTTTTTTCTTATATAAAAAATTTAGAAATAATTTATATTTTTACATATTTTATTTTAAGATATTACTAGCATTTATCAACCTAAAATTCTAGGTAAATATAATGAATAAAAAGATTAAACTACTCTTATTCCTATTTTCAAAATATGTTATTTTATTAGTTTTATTTTTTAATAAAAATTTATTAAAATAACTTAATTTTAAAAAAATATATATTTTAAATTTAACTGATAAATACATTTCCTCCAACTTTAAAAAATAGATAAAGACAAATAAAGACTTGAAAGCGTGGGATTCAATATTCGTTTGCACGAGCCGAGACAAAAAAAAGAAAAGAAAAAGGTTAAACTCCTAATTTAGTTCCTCAATTATTAGACAGATTTTTAATTTAGTCCTTAAACTAAAAAAAAATTTCATTTAACCTTTAAGGTTTCTAAATTTAACCTCAAGTTAGTTATTTTGTTAAAAAATAATTAACGTATCTATTACTTAACAATAAAAAATTATTTTTTAATGATTACGTATCACATTAATAATATGACATGTTAACTATTTTTGTATAGATGATCAACTTCAAGCTAAATTTAAAAATTTTTGAAACCAAATCAAGAATTAGTTTAGAAAATAAAGCGATATGTCAGCTATCTTTGTACAGATGATCAACTTCGGGCTAAATTTAGAAAATTTTGAAACTAAATCAAGAATTAATTTAGAGACTAAATTAGAGATAGTATAATAATTAGTGGACCAAATTGAAAGTTTAACCGAAAAAGAAAAACAAAAGGGGGTCATTTGCACCATGTGTCATGCATGACTGGAGCAGGTCCACTTCAAGTGGAGTTGCATGTTTCAGCCCATGGGCTATTGCCATTGCCGACTTCTCTAAGTATCATTATCATTTATCAATATATATCATAAAATTATTTAAAAACAAAGACATCATTATCAATTCCATAACAAAAATGAAAAAAATAACTGTAAAAATAAACCCCCACGCCTCATCTAGAGCGTTACATCCACGGCCAACAAATTTACAAAAGCAAACGCTTTATGGTTTAAAGAGAGTACGAAGGGGCCCTACCCCGACATGTGCCCAACAAAATAAACCACACGCGCGCGTGAGTCAAAATCAAACGTTGTCTTTTACTGTAGAC